CACTCACACGGCTCGCTCGGTTTCTCGCACAGAAATTCGCGTGCGCCTCCGCACAATGCTGAGCGAAACAAAAGACTTAGGCAACGAACTAAGACTTCATATTAGGCGCGGGCCAACTTGTTTTTGTTTTTGTTTTTGTTTTTTTGCTTCGCTGACAGGTGTGTAAAGCCAACAGCTGTTTCGTTGGGTTTTGGCCAAAAATGATTGCTCACAACGTGGCCGGGCGACAGCAACTGCGACGGCGCGACGTCAACGAAAACGAAAACGAGCGCAGGTAAAACACGTAATTGGATTTATAACTTTACTCTTTTTTTTATAAGGTACACGTAATAAAAGCGCACAAAGTGATATCGTTTTCTGAGACTATGCTGCTGCTGCTGCTGCTGCCTAACGCGCCGAAGTCGTGATCGAAACTGAAGCCCCAAGAGGCGCGCATCCAGCGCAAGAGCTGCCGAAATGCGACAAAAGCTGCAAAAGCGAGAGAGCCCTGAGCGGAACAGCTCTCGTGAGCGGAGAGATTGTGTTTTATTCGGTATTGATATGGTTTTTATTTTTTCTCCTTCGTATAGATAAACATGCACGGCTCTAGTCATGCACACCGGGCAGCAAAAAATCGAACAGACCAAGCCAACGAACTTGTTGAGGGAATGTAAATCGGGCTTACCCATGAGGGGAATGTGTTAATTAGGCTCGAAAAGGCAATATTAACTATTCCAGGAAAATTTAACATCTAGAAACAGGGTTTAGATATTTATTGTTATTTCTGGTTTAAATTCAGAGAATTCAAATATTTTCAAAAGAGATACCATCAGCCTCGAACCCATAATCTCTCAGTCAAGAGGCCTAATTACAAGCCTTCCTAAATCATATTTTCAGGTATCTTCAGCCACGCCCCCTAAGCTTCGTTTAACAATTTTTCACGGCGCTTTTAGTGGCTTAATTAAGACATTGCACGATACCGTTAAGAGTCCCCTAAGCCCCTTATGGGTCTTAATAGCAACCTCTTGCTGTCGCCTCGCCAACAACTGCAAATGATGAACTACTCGGCAGTGTGATGAACTTTAAAGCAGATTATCAAGAGCTGTCAAACGGTGAAACAGTGAGCTATAATGTTATGTACTATATAACTCAAGTATAATTAGTAACGCTAATAAAAAAGCGAAACTAAAGTTGGCTAGTGAAAACATTTCTATGTACCAAACTCGTATAATTCACACATTTCCGTCAACGTGACGTGAGCAACAGAGATGAAGTCAACTCTGAGAATCGCATACTCACCGGGGACTTGACGATTTTTAAATAAAATTAAAATAATAATAAAATTGCAGCTAATGGAGGAATTTCACGCTGCATTAGCTAGGGGGATTATCATGAAACAAAACAAATCGAAATAAATCGATATCCGTGATTCCTCGACGGTTTCCGGTTGACCCGAGCGGGTCAGTGAAAGCGTTAGTCTTGCTCAAATTGCAGCAGTCACTAAATAGCCGCGACTTAAATAAAAGCTTATCTAAATATTTACCTAGCCGTCAATAGGCCGCATACATTTCGAGCCAATTGGTATGCAAATGGCGGGCAAACTGTCGTAGCATTTCCCCAAATGCAAATGGGCGCAGCGGCTCTCTGGGCTCATTTTCTTTCCATGCTCCCAAACTCCCCGAAAAACTAGTCGCCGGGTTACCTCATCGGCGGGCGTCGTTAAATTGCAACAATTACGGAGCGGGACGGCTGCGGCGGCGGCGTAAATGAAAATCAATGAAGCGGCTAACGAACGAAGACAACGAACGAATCGAGACAACTACGAATGTTTGCCCAAAGAAATGAATGCTAAAAGTGGCGCATAAAAAGAAAGTTTAAAGCACACTTTTTACCCCTGCTTTGATATCGTTTCGCTGGCGGTTTTGAGTTCGATTTTGTTTGCCTTTGCCAGCGCAGCCGGCAGTGCCCGGGCTCCGTCGAATGATAGTAAAACTGCATTCGGTAATTACCTCCAGTTCGAGCTGAGACCGAGCACTCATGCCTTAGCTCGAGTGATTCAATAAACAAAGGTGTCTGGTTAGGCCGGGTAAACAACCAAAATTACAAAACCAGCGAGCGCGCCAAAGAATTTGTGTCACAAGTTGCACAATGGCCGCCCCGAGAAAAAGCCGAAACCCACTGCAGCGCCTGCACACGCGGCGTATGAGCGACGACCACGACCACGACGACGGCTAGCAAATACCGCACTTTGGCGAAGAAGTAAAACTGCAATTTGCAAGCGTTACATAAGCGGAGGCGACTGGGGGGACCGGCTCGCCTGCCCAGTGGCAAAGCCGCCTTGACGGAAGTCGGGAAAAATAGTTCCAGGGGAAAAATGGTCAAGAGCATGAAATTAGCTGAATAAATTCGACACAGCCGGGCGAAATGCGTAGAGACCATAAATGGCAGCCCCAGCAGCAGCAGCAGCCGATGTATGTGGAGTAAGCCAATAAGTAAATTGGCCAAAAAGCAACATCCATCCAATGCGTTCGTTCATTGTGGAAGTTGGACACGGATTGGAAGTGGAATTACGTGTAAGTGGAGCGATAGCTTGCATTTTTCCACTTGAGAGCCAATTTCTTGTGATTATTTGTCAACAAACTGGAGTGGCTTAAGGTGTAAACGAGGTGCAAGGAAATTATGGTCCGACTGTAAATGACCACATCATTTTAACATTTAATGCTGGCATAATAACTTGTTTTAAAGCCAGTTATTTTTTATATACATAGGTTTATAAGGCCAAAGATAATTTAAATATTTTTAAAGACTCATAATTCACAACAAAAAATCACTAAAATCCGTCATTAATTGCAGTCAAATAAGAAGGAGAAACTCCATATTTTTCTAGGAAACACCATTTTGTTTTAACAATTTCTATTTACTTAAACTTGTATTTTCCTTATAAACCTACCGCAACAGCACTTGGGTACTTAACATAAGTTTGTGTTTTAAGTGCTTTTAAAAATTAAAACACTCCCTTAAAAAAATATTTTCAGAAGATACAAAAAATTTCCCTTATTTGAAAACCGCGGCAACTAATACATATAGCCATCTCACTCTCTCGTATATACAGTTGTCTCTTTTACTCAATATAAACCCAAGAGATGGCGTATTAGTCAGCCACCATGTTAAATTCTCAACAGATGGAGCGACCACAAATGTACCTATTTTTATAGCAAGAATGCTATAAAATTGTAACGAACTTTATAGTGATAAATAGTATTGAAAAAATAATGTCATCTTTGCCGACAGGTGGCTTTTTTTAGAATATTGATTTGTTTGTAAAACAGCCGAGTCGATCTAGTCATGTCCGTCTGGCCGTCTGTCCGTTTCTACGCAAACTAGTCCCTCAGTTTTAAAGCTATCTGAATGAAACTTTGCATATAGTCTTCTATATGCTCTCACTGCTATACATATATGTCGGAACGGGCCGGATCGGACGACTATATCACATATGTAGCTGCCATACAAATGTTTGATAAATTTTTAGAAAATTAATTATAACTTTGCATTTTTTTTAAAATTTTTGCATAATTTTTTAGATATGGCCATTTTATGTTATTTCTGAATTTTGGTAAAAATTTTATGAAAATCGGACAACTATATCATACAGCTGCCATATAAACGATCGGTAAATGTAGATAAAATGTAAAGCTGGGAATGTAAAACTGTAACTGTCAAACTGGTAAACTTAATAAGTATACGTAAAATGAAATGAAACTCTGTCTTGTGAGTGTTGTCAGTATTAGAGGTTTACGCCGATGGTTAAAGGCATCGGCGGCGGCGTAGAGGTCAAAATGACTCGGCGGCGGCGGCGTAGTAGTCAGAAAGAACCGGCGGCGGCGGCGCGTCAAATAAGGCAAAAAGGCCATTTTAATGAGTTATTTATTTTTTTTAAAGTTTTATAAAGAACAATGACACTGAAGGCCGCGCTGAAGCTGCGCCGATGCCGCACCAGCGGCGCGCCGCGGCGCGCCGTTATTTTCATAATTTGGCGGCGGCGCGTCAAATAAGGCAAAAATCGGCGGCGGCGGCGGCGTGGCGCGGCGGCGTATATGTCTAGTCAGTATTATAATCTATAATATACATATCAAAACCAATCTGCAACGGCATGCCGAAGTTAGTTTCCTTTCTTGTTAATTTTAAAATAATCAAGAAGTTTTTTAATATAGAAAATCAGATTTTATAATACAAAATAATATTTTTCTAAGTGAAGGAATCATTTCCGACCCCATAAACCATATATATTCTTGATCAGCATCAACAGGGGAATATTTCTAGACATGTCCGGAAGAAATCGATTTTTTGGCCATTTTTGCAAAATTTGATAAGGGGTAACATCATTAAAATTAGCAAAAATGGCCAAAAATTTTGATTTCTTAAAATTTTAAATTTGGTATGCAGTTTTTTTAAATTAATAAAAACTAACACAAAACTGCTTCCCGAATCGAAATTAATGCATTTTTGGCTTAGTTATGATATATTTTAATTGTTACCTGCAAGGGTATACAAACTTCGGCGTGCCGAAGTTAGCTTCCTTTCTTGTTCGATTTAATTTATTTTAAATATTACAGATAAATTTAATATAAATGTTTACGAAATTTCACTGATTATAAATAAACAATTTATAGCTTCAACAAAAAATAGAAAATAACTGAAGATAGCATGAAAGAGTTTAAACAATCACAATCACAGAATAGATAATGTAAAGATTACTTTTTCCTAGAAAAAGAGTTGATTGAAAGAACCATTTTACCTAAGCTCTTTGTTCTTTTACTGCTTATATATTTTTTGCCTTTGTATTTACTTATATTTTCTGAGACGTAATTATATTTTCTTGTCTTCGAAGAGCCATGATTCAGAAACCTCTCTGTCTGTCTTATCAATTATCTGCTTTACAGCAATGATTATGATACATTCCCCGGCAGACGGAGTCTTCTTGCGCGCTAGGGCCTGCTGGTAGCCTCAGTTTCAGCCGCGAACTGAAGGCGTCAAGATGAACCATCTTAAGTATCTCCTGCTTGGGCTTAGTCTCCTACTGGGTGAGAAGAAGGATTATAAAAAAGCATATCCATCCAATAACCTTATTTTTAGTTGTGGGAAACGTGTGGACTTATTGCCAATTGAGCAAGGCCAATACCTGGACTGATCGAACCTTCGCCCAGAACGTAAACAACCGCTTTGAACTTCTGCTCACGGATCGGCTGCAGCCTAATCAGTTACTCTACCTGCTTTGCGGAGGTGGACAGGCGATTTTCAGCACCACCTGTCTGTCAAGCGGCATCCTTTACCCACCGCTGCCAACTACAAACTGCACGGTGGCTCTCGCGCCTGCCGTGGAGGCCGTCAGGGACCCCAGTTGCCCCCATACCATGTACCGCGTGGGCTTTACGTACCAACAGCAGTTTCTAGAGATCTATCGCAGCTGCTACCAGGCCTCCACCATGACAGCTTATTTCTCCATCACCAAGGTCTACCCCACCTATTTGAGTGAGTCCGGTCTGCTTTTATTATTACCCAATATTGATATTCCCCCACTTAAATATAGATTCCGATTCCCCGCCTCCAACTTTCGACCGAGACGGACTAATTAGTCCAGCGGATGCTGCCACTTTTCAGCGGAGTAGCGTTTTCAATCGATTCGAGGCTATTCTGGGCCCACACCAGAACTATGTCCCGACTGCCCAAACTCCCTCCTTCGACCGCGGGCATCTGAGTCCGGCTGGAGACCACACCTTTCCGCGGAACCTGCGGCAGACGAACAAGTACCTCAATGTGGTGGCCCAGCACCAGAACATCAATCGCAGCAACTGGAAGATCGTAGAGAATTGGGTGCATCGTCTATTTTCTGAACATCAGTTTGATGTCCTCAAGGTCTGCACTGGAACACTAGATGTCCTTGAGTTGAACAATATAAGGTCGCAGCCGCGACAGGTTTTCCTGGCCCCGAACAAGAACCCGGTTCCAAAGTGGATGTACAAGATCGTTAGCCATCTCTCGGGCTACAAGGTCGTCGTGTTGACCTACAACAACGGATGGGCTAATCAGAGCCTAAACCCCTCATCGGTCTGTCAAATGGTCAATTGTCCGCGCTCGTTGAATCCGAATGGGAATGGTTTCACCTTCTGCTGCGATCCAGCCCATTTTATAAGCCACAATGTCCCTAAATTGACGGGCGTTTGCTAAGATCTAGCTTGTATGTCGTTCTTGATCTTGATATACTAACAAGTGATTTCATCTACCTTAATGGATAACTACAAATTAGCTACCTACCTACTTGCCTTAATGTATTTAATTCAATTTTAATTTCAATAAAGTACTAGTTAGTATGCCAAATTATAGTTCCCTTTTATCTCAGTTTTACCGGGAAGTCTTATCTTCAAGAAATTGAATTATTTGGTGTTTCTATACCCAATACGTCTTACGTTTCCATCTTAATTATTCGATTATATATTAAGTTGCTAAGACACTATGCTATGCCATCATCATGGAATCCTTACTTTGGCTTAAAAAAAATCTTTCGGCACATCTAATACAAGGCTTTGCTCAGCTGGCAAAAAGCCAAGATATTTTCCATTATGTAAATGGCATACAATTTGAAGGACGTTGCTTATAGTTTATGCAACTTATATTTGATTTATTTTTAAACTAATTTCCCTTATTAATAATAATCAATCCTTCTCAAAATGAACGCCGCTTTGTTTTTCTAAAGCTTATTTAATATAAAATCCCTTAATTCTGGATGCTTCTCGACAATTGTTTGAATTCCTTGAAAGGGCTTCTTAATAACTACGCTGTTTTTTTAGGGAGTATATGCTTTTATCAACGTCACTGTTGTCATAGTAAGAGCCAGTGTTTGCCCGAGGTAGGATCAATAACTGGAATACACTGCGTTATATGACTGACTCCTACAGCGTCCCGACGGACCAACTCTTGGTCAGCTGCATCCTGGCCCTGACTCCGCCGGAGCTCAGGCGCGACGCAGCACGCCCGCATAAACATGACCTGATTGATGTTGGTTTTAGTTGGCCATTTATTTGTTATTTGCGCGTTACATTACACTCGTAGTGCCGAGTCCGGCACGCAGCAGCAGCCGGAGGGCAGCCGCCTAATGGACGTGGGGCTGGCACATCCTTAAAGTGGCACTCCGGGTGGCACGGCACTCCTGGCTTTAAATGTCGTCCCTGTGCATTCAATTTGTCACATGCCAGGCAGCCGCATATTTGGACGAAATATTTTTGAATGTGTCACAAATTTTGCACAAACGTCGGCAGGGACGCGAAGGACGAGGGCGGCGAGGACGCACACTGGCAAACATGAATTATGCTTATCCACGTGTTATGCATAATGGCTAGCCGACCTTCCGTCGGCATTCCCACAACCTAATATTAATTTGCTGATTTATGAGCGCCAGCCCACAGCGAGGCAACTATAAATTTTAATGAAAATTTAATAAATGCGTCGTCGGCCAGAGAGTTTTTGGCCAGCCTTTGTTGTTGCCGGGCTTGTGTGCGTGGAAATTTAAGCAATTACATGATGTGATGGCCAGTGCCGCCATTTTTGGTGATCTGCGGCTTTAAGAGGGGCTCCGGTTCGAATTATTTCAGCAATAACCACTCATTAAAAATGTACATAAGTCCTTAGCCAAACACTCGCATTCGCTGTGGATTAGAGCGGAATGCAGAGTGCAAAACCAGCGAGCCCGCAAAAATGAAGCCTCTTCAGAGCGGCCACAGAAACAAACTGACAGCCCAGCCCAGACTCACAGGCGGTCGATACAAAATAGTTAAATATTTTATGCCACTGCTATTTTACGCTTGTAAATCACAGTCAGACTCGAAGTCAGAGTCCAGGCCACAGACAGACAGCCCGCCGGCTGGGGCTGCGGCGCACAGTAGCGCCTTTTCTCATTTAGCGTTGCAAAAATCATATCTTTTAAACCAAATAAGGTAATCGAATAATTTAAACGGCATTGCACAGGTAATTGTTGTAAAATGTATATATGTACTGCATAAAGTACCACGCCCACAAATACGCCTTTTTAAAGGGTATCAAAGTGGAAAAATATTTTTTTTTCAATGAAAACAATTTTTAAAAAATATTTTTTATTTAATTTTTTATGTTTATTTTTATGTATTTGCTCAAATAAAAATAATTTGAAAACTGAAAAAAATTTTTTTTTGTTAATTCGAAGTGTAACCGCCACGCGCTACAGTTAGTATATTTCTTGAAATGTATGAAATTGTGTCGGTATTTTGGTATATTTTACCCTGAGTTGTTTTGGTTTTTTGCGTTGCATTTCCGCAGACGCAGCTCGACGCAGCCGATGAAAGTTAATTCTGATCCAGGAAAGATCCACGGAACTTGTAGTCCTAGTGTAGTCAGTGGCTTTCATTGGCGTCAGAAGATATAGACTACTTTAGGCAGAAAAAGGTGAAAAAAATGGACACCTGGCAGGTAGCGATTTACCTGTAGAAGCCCAAACCAAAGTGTCGTTTTTTAGGTTCTTTAATAGTTTATGAATGTATCTATCATTTAAAGTAAAAACCATGACCATTGGTTTTATGGTTTTTTTGTAATATTACCTGAAAGTCGACCAATTTACACATTTTTTTTGTATGATGCAAAAAACGAAACAAAGTTCAACTTTAAATGCTCATAACTTCTACAAAAAAAAATCTTAAAATTGATTTTATTGCAGATTCTGAATCCTTGTTAAATTTCCTGTCGAATAAGTATGGTTAAAATCGTTTTTGCGAACATGACTTTTTTGATTTTTGCAACGCTAATTGTTCGAGAGGCGCTACTGTGCGGCGGAGGAAAACCGAAAAGTTCGGATCGGAAAGTGAGCAAGCATTACGGTTAAGCCCGGTCCAGGTCCCGGGATGGGATGCGGCGGCCACGAGCTCCAAATAGTTGAGCTCTCCTCGGCCTGCGGTGCCGTCAGACTTTGCCCACCTGGTCGGCTCTATGCTCCATGCATGCATCTCATGGATTCCTGGCGCTCAGACCTATTTAATATTAAAATCAAATTCCTCGAGATAAATTTCATTTCGGCCAGCCGAACGTCGACATCTGATAGACAAATATTTGCCCGGCCCAGCCATTTGCATTGAATAATTTACCGTCTGAGTGCAGTTGACTCGGCAGTCGACAGGACCAATAATAATTGGATAAACGCCTTTAAATGGCATGCAACAAATTAACAATCATAAATTACATTAATTGCATTGCTAGGGGACAGGGGTTTAAATAATTGAGTTACAATTTTGGCCTTACCACATGCCAACATGTGTGCTAAGGTGTGTCTCAGGTGCCGAAAGGTACACAATTCAATCTGCAGTAAGCAATGTATATTGAGGAAAAACCAGCCCTTGGCATCTCAATGTTGATGTTCATCATTCCGGAATGTCTATAGAAATCTTGTAGAGCCTGTTTTTTTTTTTTGCCTGCTCCTTGCGATGCCCCCAATCCAGGACCTGTTTAAGCAAAACGGCCAAACAATACAGACAGAATGTAATGGATATCGATATTTTTTAGATAGTTGGGTGGCTGTGGCTGTGGCTATGGACGATGAATGCTGGTTGCTGGATGAGGGATGCTCCAGTTTCTGTTTCATCAAAGCAGCTGCCTGACAGTCGGTACAGTTGGCGAGGTCCTTCGTGCTGGCTTGCAGCGATTTTAACAAACAAATCAATTTATTTGCCAGATTACAATTTACGTGACTCAGATACAAATTGCTTTATTTATTTAGCAGAGCACAATAAGTGAACCAGCGCGGAGGAGGCAGCCCCGAGGTCGGCGGTGAGCTGAAACAAAACAAAAACGTTGCCGGGCAAATACATCAATTAGATACACAGAAGCGGACTAATGTAATGACTAATTGAGTTCAGGATATGTTCACATGCAATGCTGGCCTTAGCGGACACGTTGAGCCCGTGAGGCTGTTATTTTCATCTAAAACAATGGCTTAACAAAACAATGTGCCTTAACAAAATTTTCATATAATTAGCATAACAAAAATAATTGATTTTATTATGGTTATCACTTATAATTAGTAACTCAGATTTTAAGGGAGTCTGTAAACAATAACGTTGAATAATTACTTCCGAATTTATGTAATATTATTAATTTAAATACCAAGTTCAACTTGAAATTTAATTAATTAATATTTAATTCCCAGTTAAACTTAATTTCTTCACGTGCAGATAATGCCAAAATCGATATACAAACAAAAACCCAACGCCAACCATCTATGAATTCCAATTCATCAGGCTCAAAACAACAATTAAAAAGTGCCCACCCAGTCAGAATATGGCACAAGTGGGCGAAACACAAAAATATAGCGGGGGAGTCGACGCTGGATAAATAATGAAAAATAAAGAGAATCGATCTCATTACTTAGCAACGGCCGGGAACACAAAGCCAGCTGAAGTGGCTGTAAGTTTAATAACAGAAATGCTCAAAACATAAGCCACAAAGGCGGGAATCGCACAGAAATGTCCAGCGAGCGAGCAAACAAAACAAAGTCGGCAAAAACCCCAAAAAGCAGAACTCAATCAGGCATAAAACATTAAAAGCTTCCCAAGTAGCACGAAAGAAATGGCCCGGCAATCTATCGAATGGAAGAAAAGGACCAAGTAAGGCGGCGGAGGAGGAAAACCGAAGGAGGAGGAAGACTCAAGCCGGGAAAACTGTAGCAAGCAAAACCTTAAGAGGGTGAAAGGGCGGCAGGGTGGCGAAGGAAGCGGAAACAGTGCAAGTTAAAGTTTGCAGCAACGGACTCCATCTTTGAATTAGTGAATTTCCGGTGGCAACAACTGTAACTCCAAAGAATGTTTTAATACTGTTTCGGTTTTTTGCGCAATCTCGGTTTAAATGCTGCAATTGTAAAGGCCAAAAGGAAAAGGCTCCATCCATGTCCCTCGGTGGCTTGTGTGGGCTTCAGTTTTAGTTTTTGTTCGCACAGATGCATCGTTTTGCTTTTGTTTTTCTGTATTTTCGCTTTGACCAAGATAAGCCACGGATTCCGGAAACCAAATATGGTATCTGGCCGGGACAGAAACGGCTCCAGCCGGGGCTGGGCTGAAAGCCACAGTTGGTTTTCGGCTCGACAACATTAAAGGCAGCCACAGCAATCAGCAAGCCGGCCGCAAATCGATTAACTTTGGCTTCTTAATTAACATCTTTTGTGGTTCATGGGTCCACTGGTGGACTCCGGGCATGTTGCTTGAATAAATTACGTGCGACAAGCCGCAACATGTTAATCCCACGTCAACACAGCCACCGCCGCCGCCTCCTCCGGTCATTCCGCATGCACGGCCATCGTTCATTTA